CCACAGACTTACAAATCTTAAATTTGAGCCTTAAGATTTTTAAATTTATGTTAATGATAAGAAAAATATAGGTGGCGATTTAGGTGTTCGATAAAACTGAAGTTCTTGGTATTTTTTAAACAGATACACGCTTAGTTTGTATCAATTTAACTCAGTCTTAGATAACACTAATATTATGATAACGCAACGGTAACATGTAAAATTTGAATGTGTATATCTCAACAGTAATGTAAATAAACATATCCTTATTATAGCGTTTCAGAAACGATTAAGCGTCAGCTATAAAAATATGCACTAAAAATATGTTTCATTTAAAAATTTTAACGCAACATTTGCAGGGCGGTCCAAGGTCATATCAATGTTAAACAAATGTTAATGTTAAAGAACATAATATGTAGCACTTAATACTCTATAACTTTTGTCTGTGATATCTCTTCATATCGCCCATATTTTTGAAGAAAATTAGGTGTTCTCAGTTCACAGGAACACACTATATATATAAAGTTTTTTTCTATCGTTAATTTTTATTTCTATCATTAATTTACATTATCGTCCTTTAAGGGTTAAAGGGTACGTTCTGTGGCCGTGCCTTTCAGATGTATTCTGTGACAACTAAAGTACTTGTAAGTACGCTGAGTGATCAGATCGATATGTAGTGCTTGATTCATGGGTTTTTCCCGATGTTGAACTGTTACTAAGCGGATAGCAAAACTCAAGTTCTCGACCTAACAATAAGAAGTCTCGCTTCGGTGAAAATATCCTATTGAACGTCGAAATTTATCGACACCTGGCAACTACTAGTAGAAGAATTTTGGTTTGCAAACTCCAAATAATTAAACTAAATAGAAGCGAAATAAGAATGTAATTGTATTTTCTTTTTCCTTTGTAATGATTACACCGACTTAGTGTTTGCTAGATATTTTTATCTGCTTAAACTTAATGTTTCTGACTAATAAATTCTTATCAGAAATAGATTTTTAGGCACATATTTCTTTATGCAGAATGACCAGCCGCGTTGTTAAATGCATCAAAAATAGCTTCCATAAAAATTTTCGCTTGTATATGTATCTTAGATAATCAGTTACAAAAATTAATTGTAAGTAAAGTTAATCGCATTAAATTTTGTCGATTTTTCAATCATCTGCGTTTTAATTGAAAACGTTTTTATGAAAATCAACAATCTCGAAATTATTTGCCGAGAATGTTGCAGTAAATCATTATAACATTACATTTATAAGTGAAACTTCAATGTTAAAGTATATTTTCACTGCAATGTATTCTATTCTCATAACTTTTTCTGAAACTGTTAAACAAAATCTGATTGGTTTATCAGTTCTAACCTACCACGTGAAGATATCATTATCAAAATTATTCCACATTCTGCATCTCGTCGGTACTGTAACCACAGTAGGTACAATCTTTATTTAATACAGAGATTATATATATTATCGTCCGATGGCGCCATTATTCACTTTCCTAAATTTGCTCGACCCTTTCAAATAAGAAAAAGATAAAGAAATTTTGGATCTTTTAATGTCATAATATTACGATGATTATCAGTGAATAAATTTTGTAGAATTTAATTCAAGCCAAATATAATTTATCAATATTTTCATATGCTTTGCAACATTAACTTATGAAATACTGTTATTTTCTAACAAAAAATCAAATATTAACTGTATATACACGTACAAACGTTTTAATCGTTTCTTGTTTTTATAGCAAATGTAACATAATTCTCAATTTAAGGTAAACTTCAATTTCAACATAAACTTCGATTAAAGTTCTTTAATAGAATGAAATAAATATTTATGTATTAATTCGATCAATATATCGATCTTGTTAATCAATACGAGAAAACGTCCGTTAGTATAAGGTAGAAACATCTTAGACATATTTCAACGTTGAAACTAAACCATGTAAAAGGAGTGATAGTGTTGGTATCATCTAATTTTGTTATGGTAGCAGCATCTTCAATGAAGTTATACTTGACTCTATTTTTGACGGTATGTTATGTCGCTTTTTTTGTTAACATTACGATGACATTTCATTAGAATTACATATAGTATTCAACAACAGACGCAAAACAATTTAAGGGGTGATTATTCATGATAATAGATAGTAAAAATGCATAAAATGTACAAAAATTATAATTCCGGCTTCATTTTGAAATTATTAATAATTACTGAAATATAACGTCAATAATAATACACATATACATAGTATACAGTATATAGTATAGTAGTGGTACGCATAATGTAGGTTAATGCAAGCACAGACAGTGATGTATTATACGAAAGACAGCAACACATGTGCCGCACTTGATGGATTTTCATTTACATTTCATTCTTGATTTTCGTTTTATACTGTTATAAACAAAATCACTCTTTAAATTTTGCCTAACTGTTGTCGAAGACTTTGTGTACTGTTATCTTCATTGTACTAAGATTTTTGCTATAAACGTCAAAGTAATGCTGCATTTTCGTAACGATTTACATAATTACTGATAGGTATTTATAACATGACTTCAATTGTTACTTACAATGATTAATATTCATTCCATGAAATTATAAACCTGTTGCAAGAATGGAGCATAAATTTATGCACCATTCTATTATCTTTTTCTTTCATTGACTGACATTTTTAAATAATTAAAAGGATCTTCATATGTAAAAAAAGCTTTTGTTGTGAAGCGAAATACTATAATAAATTATAATTTGATTTAGAATGTCAAAAAATAAAATAGCACTCACAAGAAACAAATGTCATCTTTCAAAATGCTATATACCATCTATAGAAAAAAGATTGTCTAAAAGAAATATCTTCGCAACAAAATAATCTATGAACTAATATTTAATAAATTAAGAACAAAATGTCTTGTCCATAGATACAAAGACATTAAGTTTTCCAATGTGTGTGTATTTTTTTCCAATGAGACTAAGCGAAATAAATTCTCGATATACATCGTAGGCCCGTAGCAGACGAGCGGTTTGTGTTCAATTCCACATTACCTCACACATGGAAGTAATCAATCATAACCAGCGGTATAAAAATGTTCTGTTATAAGCGTTTAGCACTATGTTCACAAACTTAAGTTTAAGCTTTTGTCTTAAGACAAAATGAGACAAAATTGTTCAACTATGTCCGTATAAGCATACGTTTAATGAAGTAATAGCAAAAGTTAATGCACGTTTTGTCTTAAAACACTAATGAGATTTGCTATTGCACCAGTGGAAATAAGTTATACAATGATAGAAAATGACGGAAGAATATTTTTGAGAAATTTCAAGAATTCTAAGTAGAGATGTTAGGTCCACAGAATTGTTCTGCGAAGATGTGCGTTGCCTTCCGTATGAATTGCTGCATTTAGGCCTACATATGTTCTTCTACGTCGCAGCAGGGAACTCGTCGCGACGGGTTGCAAACCACTTATCCATACCGGGCCTTACAATTGGACATACTTAACTGGTCCACAAAAGTATTTAAAGTTGATATATTTGTAATAGAAATCAATGTACCACACATATGTATGTTATTCGATTTCAATGAAATATGTACAGATTATTCTCACATGTGCATACTAACCCAAGCTTCATACATACGGATATTTCAAAATACCTATAAATAAAATAATCTATCGACTTTAAATACTTTTGTAGGCTGGTGTATTGAATTTAAGAAAGTTAGTCGTAAAAAGATTATTTAGGACATGGATGTTATTATAGTGCACAGTATAAAACTCAATGAAATTTATAGTGGAAAAAATAACTCATCCTTGTCAAAAAATGTTTCTTGTCAACATGTTTCTTTTTAAACACTAACAAGTAATTAATATTCTTAATAAAAGTATATCGTTTCATTTAAAAAATGAATCTTGACTGTTGCATCTTTTAAATTAATTGTATAAAAACTTCTTTGGAACAAATAATTTGTATCCTCGTTACAAATAATTTCTATAAAAATGTTTTATTGGATCTTCAACGCTTTAAATGATAATAGTTTATCTATTCTATTTTTAGTCGAACAAAGGTATTGTACATCATTTATTTTGCATTATTTGACATTGACCATTCTACATTATACAATTGCATTTTCATCCTGAATTTTATTTAATAATTACGGATGAGGTACAATATATCTGTAGCAGAATTGTTCATTTGTGATGCATTTGTGTATAATTCCTAATTTCAATTGAAACATAAGCTCCACTTAATCGCGGCGTAATACGTATGCTATACGATTCACTTATTCGTGTAATTAGTTCTTCTGTCGCTAGATGCCAGCACTATAACAACGATGCTGCCGATAGTACTTACAAACTGTTGACTAGGTTAAGAAGTTAAATTTCACTATCTCTCATAAAATTAAAATACGTATCTCTATAACTTTCTAAAGTTTGGACCTTGAATTTTCATTCCAAATTAATATTAATTTCGATGAAACTTTGATCAGAGATCGTATGTATACAACTCACACAAATTCAATGCACAAAACAAAATACTCTTCTTAATTTATTAATTTCTATAATGTACTATGTCAGTAAAAAATATTTGACTTATGCTTTATCGAATATGATCAGATGAAAATTATCCAAGAGAAAAGAAATAGGACCCACGAAGTAATAAAAGAGCTAACGTTTGTACCTCCTTTAATTATCTATACACACATAAAACTCCAACTAGTGGCCCCATCTTTTCCTATTCAAGTTTATTCGTAGGTTTCAATGCATAAAAATAATAAAATAAAAATACCCCATAAGACTGTAATCACAAAAAACGTCCTCCTCCATTTTCCCACGGCAAAAATTCAAAGTGCTCCGAACTTCGACATTATTCTCTGTTGGCCACAGCGTATAAACATAACCATTCCCGAATCGTTGGCCAAGGAATCGTCCCAGTGTAGTTTCACGCTGCGCTTCACCAGATGGCACGACCACGGTCACCTGTTTACCTGAATTTTTACCTGAAAGGCTCTAACATCAGGGACCGACCGGTCGACCAATGGCTGCGCCGACCCTGGGCCCCACTCGCCCCCTTCCTGCTGCGCGTCACTCGCCGCCTGACTCGAGACAACAGGCTACATAGTTCAGAAATTCGTCGGCCGTAAGCACGAAACCGATTTCCAGGCGTTATCTCTCGTGGCTGCTTTCATCGTAATTACGTCGCGTACTAGTGCACGGGAACGTTAGTGTACCGATACCTCGTGGAGTACCAATTCGCCGGGGAAGCGAGATCAGGTGAGCCAATTCCTCCGGATTAACCGATCTCCCTATCGCTCCACCAGCCGAACCCGATCGTTCCTCCGTCGACTCGACTCTCAAACCAAAGGGAAGTTCCCAGCGGAACGCCAACTAAGGACATTCCGATCGGTCGTCCTGCATTCGAGGACGTTCGGTATTTTGTAGGCGTGTTTGTTCAACCTCCAGCTCTCCTCTAAACAAGCGTTCCATCTCCAGAACGATCTGCCTCTATTTTTTCCTGAAGGCTGCGCAACTAGTGCTAAGCAAGCAGTGGTGGTGGAGGCACTATCAGAATTGAAAATGAAATTTTGTGCACAACGAAACCATTTTTCCGAAGGCTTCTATCAAGTCTACTCGCATTTCGCGATGATTAAACTTATTTGATATTCTCATCAGTGGTTGCTCGACATGTGTATCTCCTTTTTGAAACACGTTCAAAGTTTTGAAAGTTGCTTGGCGAGTTCAGCGACGTTAAAAATTTGAAGTGCGATGGGCTGACGCATCTTCGGCTGCATATTCTGTGCACGGACGCAATCGTATGACGATTATTAGACATTTATTTTGACTCTTAGTTCCGGAACCTCCCGAGGAATCCGAGGAACGTCGTACCAAGTAGGAATATGGCGCGTTGGATCATCGATGAAGTATTTCAGCTTTCCTCACGCGTTCTGTTCCACGGGAAATATCTTCATTACGCTTTGCTTATCTTAAAATCAGTGATGGAACTGATGAACGAATATAATGTGAAACTCGAAGAAACTGATTCCTCGGATTAATTGATTTTATTCTAGATACCTACATTAGAGTAAATATATTCTTGAGTCGAAGTCTGATTTGTTGAAGAAATCTAAAGAATTTAAATAAGTTCTATCCGATAATGTTAACAGGTATTGTGTGGACAATTTAAAATCATCAGTATTTTTGTGCATTTCGTAACTGATGTACAAGCATATGTATTTGAAGGTGATAATATGGCTATGGGTTACTATATTGCGTATGTAACTATGTCAGTCATATGAGAGATGAAAGAACTGCTGCAAGACGTTTCAAACATCGGGAACAGTTGAATCGTAATATTACTAAACGCAGATGCACGGTTGTTCTGGTATACCTTCGAACACTTATCAGCAGCCGCAGATTAATTTGCATTTTTGCGTCCTCATTGGCGCCGACTGACTGCGAAACAATGACGCTGATAAGCAACGTGAAAGAGAAGATTAATTCGGGGTATTGGTTGCAATATTTTTAGTATGCTGAGAAATGATTGTATTACTTTTCGAGCACATTGACTCGGAGATATGTGTGCAATTAGGAATCTTACGTCAGATTCATATGCTAGAATCACATACCAGCCTAACAACATTGGACACTTTATATTTAAAGTAAAAATAGCAAGTATAGAAAGCAAATAATTATTTTAACGAAAACAACGAATACGTATAACCCCACAAAATAAGAATATACACATGTATGTACAAAATTGATTTTTGTTTACTTGTCAAATATTTGTGATTATTTCTAGTAAAACAAAATTAAAATACTAATTTCTTGAATTAAACGTTTTGGTACTAGTTTATCGTACGACTTGGTTGTAGAAATATAATACGCAATGTCTGGAGATTATATTTAAAAATATATTCTTACATTGTTTCTTCATGTATTACCTATTATTTCGAAATTTTCTGGATAAAAAATTCACAAATATAAACTTTCTTATAAATAATTGCTTTAATTATAGAGTAGGATAATATTAAATATTCCAGTTACAAACAGTGATCGAAACATTTGTTAAAGAAACATTAAAAACTAATTAATATAATACGTTCATATGACATTTATAAATTTAATTCACTGTTAATAAAAAGGACCCAGTATTTGAAGTTTTTAAAGTACGCTTTAATTGAATAACTGCAACATCAAAATGAATAGGTGATTATAATAGTAAGCAATCGCGATAGAAAAGAAATCAATTACACGCTCACTCATTGTTGCTGTATAATGTAGCATTCTTGAAAGATCGCCTTTAATCATTTTTAACAGACGTATTGTTAACAGAAGAAGAATCTCATTCGTTAAAATATTTTCTGGGGTATTCATGTCTAAAAGTTGATATTTAATTACATATGCATGCTTAACATTCATAAACAGTGGTCGTGATTAATTACTCTGCTCAATTAAACAATAATTAATTTTTGTGTAAAGTATATTCGAGTCAAATTTTTTATAACTATTTACGTTAAATAAGTATTGGACTTGTTGTTTTTCGGGAACAAAATTTAATTAATTAACAGTGTTTGTTATAGATGGCATAAAAAAGTAATTTAATTACTTTTTGGTATTAATAATAAGTAATTTTATTATTGAAAAATATTTAGATACGTTGTATAATCGGAAAATAATGATAAAAAGAATGAAAAATGTTATATGAATCAACATCAAATGTTGATACTCGTAATATTGAATGGAAGTTTAAACAACTTCAAATATAAAAAAATATTACAACTTAAATAGTATTCGTTGAAATAGAAAAACTTCATACATAAATGCACTATGTCGTATTGAAGAATTAACAACGTTGTCAAAACTATTTTTGAAACAAGTGTCTACTACTATTTTTAAATTTATGGAAGTAATTTTTGTCTGAAACACATTAAAAATGTTGACACCATTATTAAATAAATTTGTTGTTACTGTTACTGGTAACCAAATACTTGATCATACAATTTATTAAGTTAAAACTATAATAGAAACTCTACGTATATCTGTGAAAGTTTTTGCTGTTTTACATATACACACGTGTCATAAATATACAAGGTTCATGATTCAGTATAATATTTTCATTTGTTCGCTAAATTTTCTTTCGAATAAAATTAAAAGTTGATAATTTGTTAATTTGCTAATTTGATTCTGCTACTAGCCCATGCACACTTAGGTATTATATGTCAATTAATATAGCATATAACATTACACAATCATACGATATAGTATATTTAACACATTGAGTATATATAATATACTTCTGAACATTCTATTTTGGGCGCACTAATTATATCTCACAACTTTTGCAAGTACTTCACTTAACGCTCACAATAATTAAAATGCACTTATCACGTATTCAACATTTTTACAGGACTATTTTAATCGGAGAATAGAATTTATTTTCCTATTATTACTTATTTAAAAAGAGAAACGTCAGTTGATATTTCAAATTACTTAACGCCATGACGTATAACGACGAGTGGCATTCGTGATAAAGATTTCTAGATTAATTTAATAAAAATGAATGTTGTTCATTGGGCGTGGGTTAAACTGGAAAACCATTTTTCTGTTATCAATTTATCATCTAAAAAGTAAATTTGCTTTTACAATGAAATGGAGAATTTCTTTATGTTTCCCGCAAATTATTGATAGTAAATAGTTATACGATATTAGTAGCAGAAGAAAGAATACAGGAAGCAGTTAACAAACGATGGTGACAATGTTTGAATGATTAACTCAAAATTTAATAATTGCATTGTAACCTTGAAGTGATTCGATGTTCATATGGTGTAACAAAAAATATGTATCTATTTATTTAAAAGAACGTATCTTACACGTAATTGCACTGATGGAATTGAATTGAATCTCCAGTTAGCAAAATCTCGTTTCAACGTGACTGTACATGTAAACTTCAGTTTCATTGTGCAATCTGTTTCAATATTCGTGATTTACACGAAGTTTTAATGTATATATTTAACCGATGATACAAAAATACGATTATTAACATTAAAATTACCGAACAATTAGAGTGACTTGTTTCGAATTTTTTTATAAAAATTAGAACAATACGTTTTTTAAGATTCAAAGGGTGCCCTAGTCTTTTATCTATGCAAATACACAAATTTAATTGAAAATTTTTTTCAAAAATGCCTTCATAATTTAAATACTTGCAAAATAAAAATTCGGTAGTGGGTCAACTTGACCTGTCGAATAATTTTAGTGTTAACAGTGTATAAAATTTGTTTTTATTTGATCGTTAAAGCTTTTAATATTTAATTGCTTCCATTAAGGTATAAAATTGTACATTTAATAGTTTACTTGATTTTCTTCTATTATTTTATATTACTTTTAATTTCTATTATTCTAGTAATCTCGAGTTTCCTAATTTTATCTAAGTTTTATTTCATAGTCACTAACTTTTACCATATTAAACCTATGGCTTCATACTTTTAACACGCTTGACTGTTGAATCTTGACTAACGTTTCAATTACTTGTCTAACAAAGTATTCCGCGCTGAATTCACGATAAAACTTTTGTTTGCCTGCGTCAGTTCGACGGTTTTTGTACACATTATTTAACTTTCTGACACTAACATGTTTGTACATTAAAAATGAGATAACAAAACAAACTGTATCATAATTTAGTTAAAAAGAAAGTAAAGGAAAGTTCTTTGTCATTGTTTTAATGTGGTTTTACTAATTTTCTACAGTTATATTTAATAAGAAAGCTGAAATATCTGTTTGCATATTTTCTGCTCAAAGAACTTGCCACAGTATTAATTAAACGTATAATTAAATATTCTT